TAGTGGCCAGCCAAGCCCTAAACCACGACAGTAGTTTAAATTTTACTTATTCTGAGAACTTGAACTCAAAATTTAGTTGCTTGTGCCTGCTCTGTGCTTTCACAAGGTTATTTATTGAAATACATCAATGAACTAAGAAAATGAATATTCTTACATCTCTGCAGATTCTGTCAGTGATTAACATTTCTGTCTTTTCCGAGTCTCTTCGCTACTTTTCAAATACCACATTGCTTTATTTATTATTTTAACTTGGCTTAAAAGTAATATGAAATTTTCTTAGCTATGGACAGAAGGGACATAAAAATTGCTAGTTTTTTAATGCTAGTCCTGACATGTTTTTGCAGGAATTTGCTCATCTTATTCAGTCAGCTGGTAACTACTTCAGGTAGGACAACTGGGGTGATTCAGCAGTTAATGCCTCTTGCAATTCTCCTGCTTTGAGGATTACAAAAAAAGGAAGGCAAAGAAACCATCAGTGACAGTTTACTTATCAGCTGGAAAGATGTAGTCTTCCCTTGCTAATTTTGTTGTTTAGTATCACAAAGGAGCAATACTGTAGTAAGGGGGGTGTATTCTGAAATAGCATTTTCAAAAGCAAATTTGTCCACAGGACTGTCATCCCGTTCATGTTAGGATAATTATAACAGCAGCAGGCATGTATCCCATGTACAGTGTGCAATAGGTTTTAAAACAGAATCCCACACTAGTAATGGTGACAATTCTGAAACAAATGAAAAGGTTTACAGGACAAAGCACTTCAGATGGTCAAGTTTATTTCCTGAATTAAGAGCAGCAATGGGAAGTTAAGCAGCCTGTAATTTGTGAAACACATTTCTCTCATTTCAGAGATGTATGTACCTGAACCTACAAACATCCCCATTGAGAAGACAAATCATCGAGGAGGCATTGAACTAGAAGTACCAAACTGGCCAACACCGAGTGAAAATGACATAATCCACATTCACAGAGGTAAGATCTGTTATAAACTGAGCTAATTTAGGTCTGTGTTTATTCCCTATGTTTTAATGCATCTACTTGTTCTGTTCACATAGCATCTGTATACTGCTTTGAAATAGTGGTTATCTGAGAATATTTTTCAATGCAGAACTCTTACATGCATTGAAATAGTGGTTATCTGAGAATATTTTTCAGTGCAGAACTCTTACGTGCATTTTCTTTTGAGTAAAGATGAATCAGTCTATTAAATTATATTTATGCAATCTGGTCTCATTATCATTCCACTTTTAGCTTGGAAGAAACATCTGTGTTGGCATGATGGAATTCTATAAAATTAAGAATGCGATAAAATGATGAATGAGGAGTGATTCTGCAGTGTCTTTGCTGACACAAAATCTAGAAAGCAGGCTGTTGTCAGGCCACTAGAGTTGAGAGACCTTCATTTGATCCCTTTGACATTCTTACATTGATAAACAAAATCTGGAAAATATATACCAAAATTTAACATATATCATAGACAAATGTCAGAGTTAAAAGAACCCCTTCAGGTATAATGACACAGAGCTAATAACGTTTTTTAAGGACATAAATCATTATTACAGGGTAGGGGAAACACTATGACACAATCTTTGTTAACCTTTTCTAATTGAAGGACTACCTAAACTTCTATATATACTTTTTTTTAATCTGAGGATGATCTTATAGCATGCTATTGTTTGGAGAAAGGATACATGAAATGTAACTGTTTTACAAAATCGTAAGCTTATGTTTTTATAAATACAGCATTTTCATTTCTCACAGGCATTAGTAGCTGGCTTGCAACTATCCTGGTAAGGGATTATAAACACACACTGCAAACTGTGGGATTGTTGTGTATGTCATTGAAAATACCATTCTTTGCAATTACATGCAAAACTTCTTACAGTCCAGTAGACTGCTAGCAGTGTTTTCACAGGCTGAGTGCTGCAAGTATTGTAATATGCTCTCAGCAAATGAGAGAGGGAACACATCGTAATTGTCTTACCAGTTTTTAAAAGGAAAAAAAAAATACTTTCATCTAAAGAGTTCCAGGTTCTCCTCAGCATAGAATCACAGCCTAGTTTTTTTTTACAAGTGGTAATTTGGTTGTGATTAGATAAGATGATGTGAATGCAATGGAGCTAAGCTATTGTCAGACTTGCTTGTTATTGTGCTTTAGTTTCCATCCTATTTCCTCGCTTTTCGATGGCCTTTCCTGGCTAATATAGTCACTGTACAAGATACTAGCTTTTAGTTGTTCTAATTTGTATAAATACGATGACATTTCAGGAGAGAAAGTCCAAATTCATATAAGTGACAAGATCCACTACTGGGACTTCTATAATTACATTCTTCTTTATGGTCAAGTCCATTTATAGTAACTAACAAATGCTCACATTTGCCCTGCAGACATGAATCATCTCCAAGGAGAGTACAGAAGTGGTGGTGGACCGCACCCAAGTGAAGATGCATCGGTTAGCTCTGTTGCCTTGGTGACAATTCCAATCACAATAGCACTGTTACTGATCATCGTCCTTCTGCTTGTCAATCAGAAAAAGCAGTGGATTCCAGTGTCCTGCTACAAGTCTCCAACAAAGGTGCAGTGTTTATGTCTATTTCTAGGCTTTCATTTTTTTTGTAAAACAAGATTAACTACAATACTGTGTAGGATGCAACCAAGATCACATCATCTGAATTCTCTTAAATTATTTGGGCCTGTTGTGACAGGACAAGGGGTAATGGTTTAATCTAAAGGAGCAGATTTAGACTGGATATAAGGAAGACATTTTATACAAAGAGACTGGTGAAACACTGGCACAGGTTGCCCAGAGAGAGGTGGTAGATGCCCCATCCCTGGAAACATTCAAGGTCAGGTTGAACAGGGCTCCAAGCAATCTGGTCTAGTGGAAGACATCCCTGCTTATTACCGGGGGGTTGCACTAGATGGCCTTTAAAGGTCCCTTCCAACCCAAACTATTCTGAGATTGTATGATTTTCTCTTTATGTCTTAAACCATTTTACACTAGTCAGCCTTTACTGGCATCTCCATAATAACACACTACTTTGCAAGGGTGTAAGGCCTAACAAATACTAGATAAAACAGGATGGTTTCCTAATTAAGGAAGTAATACATAAACCACCTCAGGAGGGAATGTAGAAGGATCCCATAGCACACCCCAAGGCAGCCCACCCACTGCAACAGCTGAGATCTCTCTCTCTTCCATCTCTTAGTGGAACTGCAACCAGGAACAAAACATTATTGAAAATGGTCAGCAATAAAGAGGCAGTTAAAATCTTGGAAACAAGCTGCTGCACACCCAGGGAAACAAGATTAAGCCCTTGTGTGATGCTAGGCTAACAGAGAACGGTTTAACCAGTCCATCTGAGATCCGAGAATACCAAAGCTCCATTCAGAAAGATGTAAAATGGTAATTCAGAAGAGGGTGTTAGTCTGTTATTGTGCCTGGCATGAGGCAACAATGTTTACCAAATTTAGCAAAAATCCAGACTCTTCATTGCTGATTTGATTTTGTTTTGTGCTGATAGACTTGAACCACAAAGGTTTATTTTATTTATGGGTGGAATACTTTTTTTTTTAACTTATTCAATATTCTGTTTCTGTTTTAACAGCCTTCTTGCCTAAACAATCAACTGGTATATGTGGACTGCAAGAAAGGTACCATGGTCCAGGTGGACAGTTCGCAGAGGATGCTAAGAATTGCAGACCCAGATTCAAGATACAGTGGATTTTACAGCATGCAGAAACAGAACAACCTACAAGCAGATAATTTCTATCAAACAGTTTGAAGAATTGCACCCTTACCAAGGATTTAAGGAAGCGAGAGAGAGACTAAGTCTGCTATTAAAATAAAACTAGAATTGTGCACTTGCTTAGTGGATTGTATTGGATTTGTGACTACATGTACAGCTCTAAGACCTTACTGGGATGAGCTCTGACTCCTGCAATGTGCCAGAAAAAGCATTCCCACTTTTCCTTGATATAACTGACCAAGTGTTTTCTTAGAACCAAAGTTTTAAAACTTGTTAAGATGTATTTGCTTGTAACATAGCTATAGAGGTTTTTTGGGAGGGGGAATCAGGGGCTAGGGGTAGGCAACGAGGTAAAAGGAAGCTTAGAGAAGAAAAGCTGGTCATGCTTGGCTGGAGAAGAAAATGAATAAAGAATACTGCTGAGCAGCAGGATAGTGGTTTTTCTTGTTGCTCTGAAATTGCATCTGTTGCAGCAAAGTCCAACCCCAGGTAAAAAAAATATGAAAAGGTCTGATTATTTTTTCAAGCTGTTGCTACAGTAATATACTCCTAGAACAGAATTTGTCACATCACAGGTATGGTGTAGCTGCAAATATTTTTCTATATGATGAGACGCTGCAGTAGTTAATGAAATAGCAAGGAAGAGGTTATAGCAGATAATAAAGGGTGGGATTATTAAGGATGTATAAAATTATACCTTGTGCTGCTTTTTGTTTTTATTTTTGTTTTCTTCAAAGCTGATTGGCTAGATTAGCCAGACTTTGGCAGAGTTAGCAAATGACTGAGGCCTAAGTAATTCCTGATATGAGCACTGGATCTTTTGACAGCAGTATTGAAGGAAGGAAGGAAAAGTCAAGAACACCATGCAGTTCCAGGGGCTTTTGTTTGTTTGTTTTGTCTGTTGTGGTTTTGTTTTGTTATTTTATATCAATCTCTGGTTGTTCATACAGGAGAAGGAAAAATATTTTTGTTGGACAAAACTCTTGCTTACAAGAGAGTAAAAAAGAGACTGTTTTAAGGTTGTTGTTTTTTTCCTGTTGATGTTCTTATTTACTGATATGCAGATTTAGAAACTACTTCCATGCTAGGAAGCTGCTTAATTTTAATTGTATATTACTCAAGCACCTTTTTTGAAGCTCAAGAAAAAAAAAGGAGATCATGCTTCTTTAAACTTTAGCATTATAGGAATATTTATGTAAATATGCTAAAAACAACAAAAAGTATTTGTATGTTTGTGTATATATATGTATATGCAAATGCATGTAGGTATACATAGCTATATATACATGCATGTGTATATACACTATACATATATATACTGTATATATAAAATACTATGTATACAGTATATATTTTTTCTATTTTTTTCTTGTTGAATGTATTTTTATCTGAGAGAGATTTTACCCAGAGCAGAAACAGATAAACAGGCATTCCATATCAATGCTTAATCGCTTGTGAGTTTAGAAAAGACAAGAAAAGAGCATCTCATTCTACCTACAGTTTGATTTGATTTGATTTGAAAGTGTTTGTGTGCGCGCGTGTGTGCGTGTGTGTGTGTGCACTCTTGTGTTTGTGTGTGTACAGTATGTGCACGGTTATAGCAGTAAGCGTTGCTCTTGCTACTTGCTACATTTCAGGGTGTTTCTTATTTTTCTTTTCCTGCTTAGCCTTAAAAAGGCTTTTTAATGAATACATTGGCTAGAGACACTGATGACAATATACATGCAGCACTAATCAGCTCTATAGAGTAACACCATCGGCTCCTGAATTTTCTTTTTTTTTTTCTTTCTTTCCTTTTTTTTTTCAAACAATTGTTTGAAACAACTACTGGAATATTGTCCACATTAAGCTGGAAGTTTGTTGTAGCTTGCCTCATTTATAACTCTGACTGTATAATACAATGTTAACTTTCCAAACAGGTCTTGGCACTTTTATACTAATTACCCATTTGTGCATTGCCTTTTTTCTTTTACAAATGCTTGTCATAAGAGACACAGATACCCAGTATGCTTAATGTGAAAAGAAAATGTATTTTTTGTAAAGGAACTCTCAAGTATTGTTGTAAATACTTGGTCAGAGGTTGCTGAACTTTAAAACTGAAAAAAAAACCTAATTTATTATTATAATGACCTAATTTATTAATCTGAAGATTAACAATTTTTTTTTGTTTTAGAATATCAAAAAGGTGTTCTAGCTGTTTGCATCAAAGAAAAAAAATAGGTGTATCATTAAGGGTCAACATTTTTTCTGCTTACATAACTTCAGTTTCCAACCACCAGTAAGAAAAAATGTAGTCTCCCCAATGTTTTGTACTCAATCTGATATTGAAACAGAAATGTTTCTGTCCAGTTACTACAAAGATTTTGTCAAGACAAAACATCCATTCCTTGCATAAGAGTAAGCAGTCTTTATCCAGAAATTGTAAATGCTTGCTTTTGTTTTACAATCAAGGCCATATTCTGAAAATATTAGCAGGATATAGGACATGGTGTAAAATGTTTTTTATTATTATTATATTAT